GACCCGGTGGACCAGGTGGACCCGGTGGACCAGGTGGACCCGGTGGACCCGGTGGACCCGGCGGTCCTAATCGAAACACAGACAATTCAACATTTTTACGCGGTAAGTGAGCTAATATGTATCTGTACATAGTTTAATCATCGAGTTCTGTTACAGGTCTTCAAATAACCAGTAATGATGGACAAGCGACCTTTTATACCATTTATCCAGGATGGTATGCTGGTCGAGCAACTCATATGCACATTAAAGTACATGTTGATGGAAGTTATAATAATGTAAATCATGTATATGCAGGCGGTCATGTTTCTCATACTGGTGAGATGAATATTAACTAAGAAATATTTTGTACTCTATTGACACAAAAATTGTTTATGTATAGGTCAACTATTCTTCAATGATGCATTTACGGATCAAGTTGCTCTCATAGCTCCTTATACTTCTCAAAAAATTGTACGAGTATTGAACAAAGACGATGGTGTTTTCACAATGCAAGGTGGTAATTTATCGCTTTTCACTCTTAGTCTAGCTCAACCAAATGTTGGTCTGCGAGGAGGTGTTATTGCAACAATTACTGTAGGTATCAATTCCGCTGCAACCCCTGCACTAGTAGGAGGCGCTGGTTTTCCACCACGACCTTAATACTTATTCCAACATCAAAATGCAATGCTTTGATAATAATAAATTTCGCTCTGCTTTTATTTTAATTTCATTTTTCTATTTTTATACCAGCTATGAATAATAAATATCTTTGAAATATGACTTTGATATATTTAAAATGAATCAAGTTCTTTTCTAAAAAAAATTAAATAGAAATATTCTTTGGCTGTCGAGTTATGTGTATTTCAAGGACAAAAAAACGTACTCTCTGTCGTGCATGATATAAACATTTTTTAATTTTCATTTCCACTTGAAAAGACTAATTTCCTTTTTTTGTAATAAACACTTAGATTATTTAATAGTTGTTATATTTCCATTCTCATAAAACAAAACAGAATCTACTGAAATTACATTTTGAATATAAGTTAAATAACTATTAGCGATATTCTTCAATAATGACTACTAGAAATTTATTACAATGGTTTCATGATCGAATATATAATTATAATCTTTTTATTCCTGATGAAAATGATTATGATGATGATGATGATGATGGAAATGGTCAAATACAAGATCCTGAAACGTCGATTAAACATCAAAAATATGCCACTCGATTGTATATTCCTCTTTTTCTCAGTAAGTTAACTAATACCATTTAATTTTGAAAAACTTTTCTGTCTATATTTTAGTAACCATTTACATTCTTTTCTTTATTGCTCTAATAAATCCTCAAACTCAAACAATAACTGTTCCTAATATTACTCCAACTCTTTTCGATCAACTTTATCGTGAATATGGTGAAACACTTTCATGTCCATGTAAAAATACTAGTATACTCTATGAAACATTTGTTACCACTGAAATCTCATTTCATCCAGTATGTTCCAGTATTTTTATTAGTAAAGAATGGATTGAATCACTCTATCATCCATATGCAAGTGCATTTCTTGTCATGGATTTTCGAACAACAGCTAGTTCTCAAGTAAATCAAGATTTTTTCTCTTAAAATATTATCTTTCTTTTTTTTTATTGTCGTTTAGTTTGAAATCCTTGCTGCTCTTTGCTCATTATGTCAACAAACAATTTCTCAAATCGTAAAAGAATTTAATAACAATCAACTTGTTACTATCTCACTTTTACAAGAAAATGAAATTCAATCTCATATCAATGGAGATACTCAAGTAGCTCAAACTAATATACCTAATCAATTGATTTCATCATTAGATTTTTTACAAATAATAACACGATCAAATTTTTTTATTTCGGCTCTCAATACAAATGTAATGGTTGAAATAATGGATTCAGGAGTAGAGCATTATGTGGAAATATTCCCAACAAGTTATATTGATCAAAATGCATCAGGTCGAGTTGGTACAGTCGGTTTATCTTGCAATTTAAGAAGTTTAACAGTTCCAGCTGGTTTTTACCTATTACCATATTATGAAAGTGCATTTTATCATAATGATTGGCCCATCTATTTAGGACCCTCTCGACTGAATATTTCTGCAATGGTAAATGGATTTTTTGGTGGATGTACTGCACTTGATTCTCTTCTCCCAAGTACACTTGATTGTTTATACGATATTAATTGCCTTGAAAATCTTGCTGATTATTTTCCGAATCTAAATCAAGTATGTAACATTCAAGTCTTATCTCTTCAATCAGAATCTTTCTTTTTTTGATTATCTAGACAACTTTGAACCGGACTACTACTCTCTCATCGTTCGATCGATCATACATGTCCGTAGAAGATCATCTAGCAAAATTATTTACTGAACAATGGATAACAATAGTTAATTATTCGAAATATTTTAATGAATGTGCTCCCACTTTATGCCGATATTCAAAAACAGAATATATGAATTTCAGTTATACAATTACTTTATTATTGAGTTTGTATGGTGGTCTAACAATCATGCTGCGAATCATTGCAGTTTCCCTAATTAAAGTCTCGTCGAAAATCAAACATCGTCTCATACGAACTCATTTTCATAAAAGTAATACTAAATTAAAATCAAAGATTAAAATCATATTTTGACTTGTAGGAAAATTTATTCAATGGACAAAACAATTAAATCTGTTCAAATCAAATGACAAACGAACAGCAAACGATCTTGTACAACAACGTGTCACTACACGCTTGTATTTAGTTCTACTTACAAGTATGATCTTCATTCTTATTGTATTTACTTCATTTCATACTGATACAACTACTATTACGATACCAAATCCATCGTTATCTGATTATAAATATCACCAAAATTTACATGGTGATACATTAAAATGTGTCTGCCTAAATGTGATGATACCGTATAGTAAAATAATATCATTATCAGCAATTTTGCATCAAGTATGTTCAAGTGATTATGTTAGTGAAGCTTGGATTTCACTCTTATTATATATTAATCCTTCTACTTGGGGCTATGATCTTTCTGTTGAGTGGCTTGCATTCGATTATAAAGTTTTTCAACTCTTATCATCTCTTTGTCAATTAGCTAACAAAACAATTCTTGATGCTCGTGATCGTTTTTATACGCAGTCAATTATCACATCAAACATGCTTATTGAATCTGATTTTTATGCTCAATTAAATGCTACTTTCGAGCAATTTACACAGTCATTGATCATTGATTTTGGTCGTGCTGTTGATATGACGCATCTTTTTACTCAAGTCGATCAACCTTTTACTGATTCTTCTAATGCAGAACTGAATATATTTCGTGTAACAGATCAAACAAATGATCAGCTACCATGGCAGGTAAATAATCATTCTTTTTCGTTGCATTGAACACAATGCAACATAATAAAAAGTAAAACTTTTCCTTATTGTTTTAGATGAAATTCACTTTTACTGGGATAGAAGAAACGACTTCAACATCTGTTCAATGTATCTGTGCCGTTGATTTTTATTGTAAGAGTTCAGTTACGGCTCATGGGTATAGTAAAGACTCAAATGGATGGCCAGATGAAAATATTACTTATGCAGTACCAGGCATGATCAAAAGTTGTTTTACTATTGATACTCTTTTACTTTCAACACTTGAATGTTTTTATTTGGAATCATGTGTATCAGTTATATATAGTTTGTTAAATGAGACATTGATTCATCATATGACTGATTTAATATGGTTTCAAATTTATCCCCTTATTTATAAACAAGAATCAAGTCGTTTTCCTCCTAATACTTCACTTTCAATTATCGTTAAAGAAATGATGATTGAACAATGGATTCCTTCGTCATCATTCGATTATTATTATGAACAATGTGCACCAATTTATTGCACTTATTCAGAGACAACACGAACTTATAATATCATTGGAATAATAACAAAAGTAATCTCGACCATTGGTGGACTTATAATGATACTACGTTTAATTACACCTGTATTCGTCAAAGTTATCTTTAAATTACTGACACCAAAAACTCCAAGACAAGAACAAGGTAATTCTTGATATATAGATTAATCTCACGTATTTATAACATGTATAGATATTCCAATGTCATTCGATCGATTTAAACAAATGTTCCGTAACTTAATAACATTATTGTTAACTACATTAAGAAATTTGAATATATTCCCAATACGAAGTTTCGGAAGTAGTATTACACGAATGGAAGCTAAACATCTTGGCCAATTGACTACTCGACTGTATCTTATTTTACTTCTTATCAGTTTTGTTATTCTCAGTTTATATACTGCAGTTAAACCACAAACTTTAATCAATACTTATATGCGACCATCACTTGATATCTATAATCGTCTCTTACTTGATCATCCTGACTCTATTCAATGTCCTTGTTCGTCAATTTCAGTACCATATGGTAAATTTATTGATATTGAGCCTGTCTTTCATCAAGTAAGTGAAAAAAAATCATATTAATTAAAATTATTCATGTTCTTAATATGTATAGATTTGTTCAAGTCAATTTGTCTCAGATGAATGGCGAACGAATATTTTAGCAGGTCTCATCTCAAATCTGTCTATTTATACTCAAGATGATTATCGTCGTTTTTTACCCGGTCATTTACAATTTCTCTCTGGATTATGTAATCTTTCTAAACAGTCGACCAATGATTCTATTAGTCAGTTTCTTTCCTCATCTTTTGTCACTGCACATCTCTTACCAGAATCAATATTTCACGTACAAATTGAACCATTTATTACAAAGAGCAAATCAAATACCCCAACTGATTTTGCACGTCTTCTTTCGTTACTTCGAGCAATAAATCATGGGAATGCGATTGTCACAAGTTATGGAACGAATTTTGAATATATTGCTCCTTGGTATAATATGATTTACTCAGCTGCAATCACTCAACCAGTGATGTATAATGATAAACAATGTAACTGTGCATTAACTGCAAATTGTACAATTCAAGCAAATTTTATTCAAACGAATCCAAAAGAAATTTTTCAAGTTCATGGCTTGAAAATGGGTTGTATACCGTCTGAATCATTTCTTCTTTCGACACTTGAATGTTTTTATAATTTATCCTGTATTGATCTAATTCAACAATTCACAAATAATAATTCCATGATGAATACTTCACTTTTATTGGTTAATGGTCGAAGTCATTTTTCAATGAATACAACAATTATGGATCTTGTCCAAGATCTTTTTATTGAAAATTGGTCAACAACAATTAATTATCCAGCATATTTTCATTATTGTATGCCTCTATCATGTTCATATAGTTACGTTCAGAAATTCAATTCATTATACACATTAATTGTTCTTCTTGGTCTTTATGGTGGTCTCACATTTGTGTTGAAATGGATTTGTCCTAATCTAGTATATTTTGTGTGGAAAATTTATCTGTATTGGAAAAAGCGAAATAATGTTGTCGAACCCGTATCTACTATTGAAATGAACACAACCAATACATCTCCTAGAAGAAAATTTTATTCTCCATTAATACGATTTTTTATTTTTGGTTTTATTCTCTTCATCCTGATGATTATCACTATGATTATTACAATGGTTTTTCTCAATCGACAAAGTCAACATAACTACGCTGTAGAAACAAGTATATCTCATCATTCTTCGAACATTTAAAATGTATTAAGTATCTTTTCTTTATTTATTAGTCACAGCAACAAATATGACAACGATGACAACAACTACAATGACAGTTTCTCGTGCAACAGGTAAATAATCTGTAGACGACTAGACAAAAGATATTAATTACGAATGAACTTTAAAACATACTTTATTTTTTTAGTATCAAATTGTCCATTAACATTTCAATCAATCGTTTTCTATCCTTTTGGTTCTTCAACTGATAATGGTTATGATTGGTACTCGATTGGTACCGGTGATTTTAATAATGATGGTCACTCAGATATTGCTATAACTGCTTGTTACTACAACAAACTGCTGATCTGGCTTGGAAATACTAATGGAACATTCGAAACACAAATCGAATATTTAACTGGAGGTCTTTGTCCACAGTCAATTGTTGTTGATGATTTCAACAATGATGGTTTTATGGATATTGCTATTGCTAATCAACAATCGAATAATATTGCTCTATTGTTTGGATATGGAAATGAAAGTTTTGAAATAAAACGAATATTGTCTACAGGATCTCATAGTCAACCAATCTCAATTGTTAAGGGTGATTATAACAAAGATGGTTATTTAGATTTAGCTGTAGTAAATATTGGTTCTAGTAATATAGCTATATTTCTTGGTAATATAGAGACACCATCTGAAATACTAACAACATTTTGTGGGAATATTTGTTTTTATCCATTTTCTGCGGTTGCTGATGATTTTAATGGAGATGATTATCTCGATCTTGTTGCAATTAGTAATGCTGATAATAACGATCCGACAGATGGATTTATTTATGTACTAATTAATGATGGTCAAGGTAATTTCGGTATAGTAATGAAATTTTCTATTGGACGTATTAGTGATCCGTATTCACTTAGTGTTGGTGATTTCAACAGTGACAATTATTTAGATCTTGTTATTACCAATAGCAACTGGAATAATATAGGTATAATGTATGGAAATGGTAATGCAAGTTTTGAAATACAAGTGACATATTCAATTGGAGTTTTCGGTGATCCACAGACGGCTGTTGTTGGTGATTTCAATAATGACGGTAAATCAGATATTGCTTTCGCTCGATCGTGGATGTATAATATAGGTATGCTTATTGGTACCGGTAGTGGAAGTTTTCTAGAACCAATGATGTTTCCGGCTGACTATAATGGTAATCCGGTTTTAATAGCTTCACAAGATTTAAATAACGATGGTAAATTAGATATTATTGTTATTGATGATGATCTAAATAGCATCGGTATCATAATGAATACATGTGATTGTTGCATATCTGATTAGCTGAAAATAAATTTGGACATTTTATTATCAATTATTCTCTATTCTGATGTGAAAACTTATTAATCTGAAAAAAAAGTTTTTTTGTATGCTTTTGTCTGTTTAAAATAAATTGCAGCACTACCCATTTAAATTATCTATCCACCTAAGTCATGATCATAATGCTTGTAAAGAAAGATTGCTCGATGTGTTTTAAAATAACAGAGGATGTGGGTGTGAATATGATATTGAACACGCACCCTCAAATTTCTATTACTGAAAATGCTCGAATTTGATAGAGATAATTCTATCTTTCAATTGATTCTTTGTTGTAAATAGTTTAGTTTTGATGAATAATAGCGATCGCTAAGAACTTAGTCAAATTTGCAAGGACATCACGTTAAGGATATTGACATAGATCCGTTCATATACAAAAATAATTCAAACAATGTGATATTCTTCTCTTTCATTAACATTTTAATTTTGATTCAAGTTGATTTCTTCAGGTCTTTAATGAGACACTTGAAAATATCAATGTGTCGATAATCGATCAGAAAATGATCTAAAATTTGATTAGATAAGATATCGAAGAGAAAATCCTCTAATGATCAGATGGTGCATGTCAGATTTTGTTTATTTTATTCAAAACATGACTAAATCAAGAAAATTTTCTCTAATCGAACAAATTATTTTAATGTACAAAAAGATTTTACGTAAAAGGAAAATAAATCATGAATAATAAAATAATTAAAAAAATGATAGATTTTTGTTTAGATTGTTAATGCTTTTGTTTTCTTTATCAAAGATTTTAAATTAATATAATAAGATTTGAATTTCGAGATAAGTACTGAGAAATATATCTGAATAATAATGTCGAAGTTAATTATTATTTATTCAGATTTTATCCATCATTGATACAATTGAGAAAATAATTCTAGAGGAATACTAATCAAACTTTTATCACCGCAACTATTCTTTTCATCTAAAATGAAAATATAAAATTAAGATCTAAAAAAACAAATAATTATTAATAAAATCTTCACATCTCCTTTCTTTTATTTAGATGATAAAATGAAAAGATTTCAAATTCTCATTGAAAATAAGTCAATTTATATGATAAAATACCTTGATTTCCAAACAATAAAATTAAAGAAATTTCTTTTTTATTTCATCATACAATTATCTTTCTACTAAATAGTATCGATCAAGAAAACTATTTCAACTTTATTCAAATTGGTTAAACTATTTAAAAAAAATCATTCTTTTATATCCAAAAATCAATATTCTATTCGAATTTTATAATAGTATGACAAAAAATCATCGAGCAAATCTTACTAAGACTATTTATTTATGGATCATTAAATTCAACCTGTTTGTTTTTCATTGCCCTATTCACAACAATTCTTTTCAAATCTAGTTATTAATAATTCGATTGTGACTAGTCAACATTTTAAAACAACCGATTAAAATGATACCTACATAGAAATATGCATAAGATTTTAATTGTGTCAAATAAATAAAACATTTGGATTTTTATAGAATTGATTATTACCCAATTGAGCAATTCTTCTTGATAAATAACAAAAAAATCAAATTACTTTCGTTTTCTACTATAAAAAAGTTATTATTTATTGAGAAATATTCTTCATCTCAATATAAATAGTATATTCATACACAAAAATTAATCTATATTTTATTCTCTTCGTTCTCTCGCCTTTGTGTTCTTACATATATAATACATGACGTTGTGTGATATGAACACAAATGGATAATAGAGTAATATACCAAGGATAGTGGTAATACTACCCCATCCGTTCATCATTGTGATCACAATAAAATATTCGGATAAGAAGAAAATAATCTATAAATTTTATTCTTTGTTTCAATATTTCATCAGTTTTATTTTCTATTTCAAAATGTTAATTAACGTCATTGATTATTATCAAAGAGTTTTTCATAAAAAAAAACAAGTCAATGTAAAACATAAAGAATTATTTTTGTTGAAATTTTCGATAATTATCTATATTTATGTATGTTTGTTCATATTTATACCATTATGCGCTACAATCTATAATATTTTTTTCTTTTTCACCTATACATCAACTAATCGATGGAATAATCGTTTAATGTCCGTTGATTGATCAAAGAACATGAAAAAATAGTCGAATCTCATATAATTTTTGAATTGAACAACATTTCAATGTATGAACAATCTACAGATAGACTATAGACAATCTTTTATTAAATGTATATTTATTTAATTTCTATATGATTCAACGAGATATAATAAAATAAATTAATTCGTCGATTATTTTATTTTGTTTTATTTCAAAGTAAGAGTGATACTTTTGAACTATAGACAAACTTATTATCAACACAAAATAACGTGATTTTTTTCTTTTCTTTTCGTTCTGTTACACTAGCACGTTGTCTATAAGAGATAAAACCTTACCTTTTATTTATAGTGTGTTAATGTAACAGAATGAAAAAAACTGACTAGTGTAAATAAGCAAGCGATTCCTTTTTTTTTATATCTTTTCAACGAAATAATCTGTTAGAGATATAAATGAAATACATTTGCATAGATCTAATATTTATTAATCTTTTATACTAGATTGAAAAAAGAGAATAAATATATTGAATGAACTATTATTTAATATTTTAAATTCACTAAATCAAGTTATGTTGAGTTTGGATCTATATGTATATCATCTAAATTATCTCGGTTGAGACATACGTTCTTGATAATAAATTCATATATTTAACGTGATCTATTCCTGTTAAGATATACTCTGAAATAACGATCAATTCAAAGATCAAGGTGGATAAATTGTTCAGAAAAGACAAAGAAATGAGTTAAGAGAACAGAATATATGCATATATGTAAAAAATCAACGAAGTGTACTGATCAATTATATATCACTCTAAAAATATATCGTCATGTTCGATTATTGCTTCTATTTAAAAGATATTTATGATTAATATTTCATGTTAGTTTTATTGATCACTGAATGGCTATATACGATAAAATTTTGATTCAGATTTTATTATTATTTTCTTTGTAAATCAAACTTTAGTGGGAGATTTTTCGTATTTAAATGATTACAAACAAGTCTTAACATATCAAATCCAATGAATTTCGTAATTATTTAAATACTCTAAAGTTTAAGAATTCAGCTAGTTAGAATTAAATATAATCATATATGATAAATGTCAACTGAAAATAATACTTTATCTAAATTTCCTAGAGTTGATTATTTTTATATATCTACTTTATAGAATGGTGACTAATTAACCATACAAACTGCAAAAATTATTTTAAAACTAATAGGACAAGATATATAGAATGAAATAAATAAAAATATATAATTTGTTTGTTTATCAAAAGGTTATCAGTATTACATAAGAAAAATTTTTAAAGTGATAAGTAGACATGAACTAAAACGAAGGAAACCTCTACTAAAATATTGATAATGACTCATCATATAGTACTATTATATTATTTTAAATAAATATCTGTGATATATTCTTATTGATCATCAATAAATAAATAATCATTTTTTTTAATCGTTTCATGAATATAATTATGAGTCGACTAATTTTAATATAGATACAAACAAAGACTCAACTGAATAAATTTATTTCGAAAATAACTTAAAAGATTAAAGCAAAAAAGTCAAAGATTTGTTTCGATTTTTGCTATAGTTGTAGGACAATATTAATCTAAAATCGAACTATAAAGTAAACAAAATATTTTTTTCATCTATCGCACTACTGCTTGAGAACAATTCTTACATAAAATACAGTAATTCTATTCTAGTTGTTTTTTATCCACAGTAATACAATAATCCTATTTTAATTTACCTTTATAATTCAAGTCAATTTTTTTCTCTTTATACTATTTTATGTGTAGAAGAACTCAAACTGGAAAACTATATTTTTCTACCGTGATAGAAAAATCAGTTATAGATTATATTTACAATTAAAATAAATATTTTTTCTTATTGTACTTCGATTATAGTCTAGTATCTTTATTCATATATCTACTCCAATGATATGAGACGTGTATTGTTTAATAAGAAAATAACAAAAAAAAAAAGATGTACTTAATGTATTGAGATGATATTCTACAAAATAATACTTGTTATATTCTTTTCTTTCTGGTCAATAATACAATGACATAAGTACTACCATTTTTTTATTTGTCTGTATTATCGGGTACATTTTTTTGTTATTTATTATTGCTCTTTTATTTGTGTAATTGGTCCTTCGAATATAATTGCAAAGATATTAAGTATGTGACAAGATACAATAATGATCGATGGAGAATAATATTTCGTTTGTATCTTGCTTTCATTATTCACCTATCCTATTGGATTTTATTTCTTTTTTTCTTTTATACTATCACTCCTTTGTCTCTTTGATTTATATTCATTGTCAATGAACAATAACGAAAAGAAATATTCTTCAATGTGCAATAAAGAAGTTTGTTGACCTAGGTGATACTTAACAAATATATTTATATATATGAAAAAGTTCAAATTCAATGTGCAACATTTGAAAGTTAAAAGTCAATTCTTACGATTATATAATAATTCAAACATATTTTTTTTGTTATATTACATATGAGATTGGTAGGATAGATACGTTTGTTACTTTATAATAATTAGAAATCGTTTGAATATTGAAATTTATAATAAGCTTGTATATAAAATCGATTTTAACAGGGTTATACAAAGCATTTGGTTCTGTGTTCACTATATAATATAATCTAAACAGATTTCAACTCGAAAAATTTATAAGATCTACCAAAAAATGACGACTTAAATATTTAAATGAAGTTTCTTGGTGTCTTAATTGAAAAACTACACTATATATTCTTTAATCGGATTAAGTATTACTTTTACATTGATTGTTTTCATGTTAACTGATGCTATCAAATAGTTTTTAACGAAATAGCATAAATGTTTCATAGCCAAAAGAAATATTTTTTCTTTAATAAAACTACATATTTTTAAAAAAATAATTATATATTTTATCGTCAAAAAAAACATAGTATAAACTAGACAATATTATCAGTTAATACTAGAATAATACAGCTATTTAAATTAATGTAAATAATACAATTCAATTTATCTTAAATACTTTTCTGTCGATATTCTTAATCCATTTTTATAGTATACTGTTTTTTCTCAAATACACCTTTTTGTACATCTACATGTGCTTTTCTTTTCATATAATTAAGCACAGATATATCGTTGCCATACTTTTTAATCGTATGTTAATATTACCCATACAATTTGTGGTTAGCCTAAATAAATAGATCATATATTTAAAAAAATTATTCTTCGTATTGTCTTATACACTCTTTCATTCATCTAAATAATACAGTAAGATATCATCTGTTTCAAATACCTATCATTATCTTTTAGATTATCATTAGTGCATATCTCTTCAATTAGTTAATCATTCATATTAGTTTGCTAAAGTATCTCAAGCAGATACTCATCTTAACAAAACCTTATGCAATCAACTGTCTACGAAAACTTTATCTTGCGTAAAATCTCGACTTCATCTATTTTCTCCTGACAGTAAAACAAACATACTGTTACATCAAACAAATATTCATCAATATTTTGGTTCTCTATGCTCCACATTGCTAAATGTAAGCAATATAAAAATAACTCAAGATACTCTTGTACTTGTTATTTATCTAATATCCGCAATCATCTTCAGTTTGTTCAAATTCATCTCACTGTGAACAGTTCAGTGTCCGTTGCTTCAACTCGAAAACAAGATGCTATACAATGTATCAAGTTAACGTTTTATTTCTGTTGGTCTAAGATAAAAAATAGTCTAAAAACTGTAGCAATGGTATATGCAATACAAACAATGAGTGTTGTATAACATATCGTTTTATTCTTTATTTTTCATCTCTTTTATGTATTTAATCTCTTCTTCTTCTTCGTACAAAATTACGATATCCTAAAGACTAAAGTCATGGTAATTATAGTGAAAATGAACAGTATTATTTTGATTGATATATATTACACGTATTTAGCATATTTTTTTTTGTTGATTCAGGGTCACCATCTCCTGAAAGATACTGGAGTATTTATTATGGCGAAGATCAATTATTTTATGAATGAATACGCATATTCTTTCAATTGCGTATACCGAATGTATTTCGTATGTGCTTCTTGATTCATGATCAACATATTCTAAAGCATGTGGCAATGATATTTAATCTTTTCTCTATTATTCTTATTAATTGTATTACTATTTGTTCAAGGAGCAGTTAATAAAAAGAATTCAACAATAAGTATTATGAACATCTTTTTTCATTACTATTCTTGATTTTATTAATTGAATATATTATTATTCATGGAAAGTCAGTTAAATCTAAGGAATCCAACAACGCTTAAGACGATGAAAAAAGCTGATACAATGAAGTGGATTAAGGTATTTTTTATTTGTCCCTTATTTTGTTTCTTGACTATACATATATTATTATTCATTGAAGATCATCTTAATCCAACGAAATCAATAATGGATATTATGATAAAAGTAGAAGTTACTGAAAACTAAATCTGAGTATGTCTCTCTATTTTTTTATCTAATACATTTATTACGTGTTGAAGGTTAGGTTGATCTGAAGAATCCGACAATGGCTATTATGGTGAAAAGAAATGGTATTAAAAATTAGATTTGCATATTTTTTCATTTTCCTGACTTTACTTGTTGAGAGTATTAGAAATTATTGAAAGAACCAAGTAATCTGGTAGAATTCAACAATGACTATGACTTGAATCGCAATAGTTTTTTTTCGATTTTGTTTATTGAATACATTTTTGTTCTTTGAAGGTCATATTAATCTGAAGCATTTAGCAAAAGCGGTGATAATAAAAACGAATAGTATTATCGTGTAAAAGTGAGTGTCTTTTTAAATATTTTCATTTTGTTTATTTAGTAATTTAGTATTCGTTTCAATGCAAGTTATGTTTGAAATAGTTCAACTATGAACATCATGATAAAAATAAACAGTATTTATGTTATCAATTAAGGTACGATTTCTATTTTTATGCCTGTATTTTTTGTTCATTAAAGGTCAGCATATCCTACAGAGAATGGCAATGATTATTGTGGTGAAAATAAGATTGATCTGGAAATGATCCAAACTATCGTTATGATTGGATATATGCAATGCACTGTGCGGATCGTTTTTATTTTGAAATGGCATGTACTGAAGAATAATGTGATGGATGGTATGGTAAAAATAAAAATTAAGGTATAGTTTTAAGTGTGTTTGTTAAATATATTTAATGGATATTTATTCGCTCAAGGTCATCAGTATATATTAAAGAGTAGAGCAACGAGTATGGTGATAAAAAGATTTGATGTTATCAAATGAATATGATTGTTTTTTAATTTTTTTCTCCATTATGTTTACTGAATGTATCATTATTCATTCAAGATTAGCATACGCTAAAGAACCCAACAATAATCACAATGAGAATAAACAACGGTTTGAAATAAATGAAAATATTGTGCTAGTTTTTTTATTCATTTGATTCATTTAGTATACTTCGCTTTGCTTCAAATCATCAAATATTAAAAGGCACAAAAATGGTTATTATCATATAAATACTCAATGGTATTAAGTCAATCAGATATTTCAAAGAATCAAGCAATTCTTATTATGGTAAGAACAGTTTCTTGTGAAAAAAATCAGGATATTATTTTAATTCTTTTCTAATCCCTTATCCCTCATATTATTTAATTTGATCAAGATTTATAGTATTTTATGAATTATTTTGAAAAAAATCAAAATAAATATCTTACTTTCATTAAGACTAAAATAATTTTAGTTCTAATAGAAATAAAAATATAATAATCTTATTGAAATTATTGAGAATAAAAATTCTATTGATTCACAATCAAATGACTGTTTACATATAGTATCAAATGAAAGTTTATCATCATCATCATTAAATGGAACAACAATATCAACAACAAAAGTAAATACTAATAATAATAAAAAATCAAAATCTCGTTCAAAAACTAATAAAGATCAATTATGACCACAATTAACTACAAAATCACAAATGCCACTATATGATTTACCAAAAATATTTTTACCAAGTAAATTAATAATAATTTTAAGAAATTCTTTATTGTTTATTATTATATATTTAGCTACAATTGATATTGAACAGTTAAGTTCACAAGTACGTGAATTACTTTCTTCATACAGTATTGGTCAACGTGTGTTTGATATAGATCAACTCTATAAAATAAAATAAAAAAACATTGCATTGTTTTGTTATTTAGGTGAAGCTGTTCTTAATCTTTCTCAAGGTACAGTTAGTGAAATACTATCAAAACCTCGACCATGGCATGCATTAAGTGTCAAAGGTCGTGAACCATATATACGTATGTATAGTTGGTTTTGTGATACCGACAATGTACAAAAATTACTTGCTTGGAAACAAGAACGAGATAGTAAAAATAAAATTTTTTCAATATTTTATTAATTCATTTGATTTTGTTTACAGTTCTACGTCGTAGTATTCGTCCTTCAACAAAATCACAGAATCATGATACAGAAAGTAACAATAATCCTACTTTAAAACGTCGATATATATTTACAGAAGATCAACGTCGTAGATTAAAACAAATATTCGAAAGTGAACCTTATCCAAGTCAAGCAAAATTAGAACAACTCGTTGATGAATTATCCTTGCCAATGAACAAAATATCGAATTGGTTTCATAATGCCCGAATGAGAACTAAACCTAATACGTATACGAAAGATACAAATAAAATATCTTTGACGCCTTTAACTGATAATAATGATGACGATGATGGTGATAATGATGAAGATGAGGACGATGATGATGATGATGATGAAGATAATACTTTACCAACAATTGTACCCTTAAATAATTCATGGTTTAATACGACAAATGATTCAGATAGTTCGACTAGTCCAATTAGTTTAGCAACAGCATCAGCAAATATTATCTCTTTAATCGACGAACAAAAGCCTACTCTCTCGATATCTACATTTAGTTCAAGTAGTAAAAAGCGAAAATCTATTCCACAAAAAATTATTACTACGAAAAAATTACATAATGAATCAATAACTGAGAATGATAATTATAATGACACAATAATATCAAATCAAACAACGAATGAATCAACAAATTCTGTTGATACTAATACTTAACAAAAAAAATGTATTTTTATTTAGTCAAAGTGATATTAGAAAAAAACCAATTGGTGATTTTGTAATTTTCTTTTTCTTTTTTCTTTTTAATGCTCAACATTTTTTGTTGTTGTTATTGTTCGTTTTGTTCTATTATATATATATTTGTGAGTATCGCTCAAGTATTAAAACTAGTCGTGAACAAACCCAGCTGCTTTAACAAGTGCATTAAAAAAATACAAACAAAGAGAATGGCGTGATATATGGTTGTTTCGTTTTCTTTTCTTCAGTTCTTTTTCTTTTTTTGTTTTTTATTTGAACAGATTATAATTTTTGTTTATATTTCGATGTTGTGTGCGCGTGCAATAAATGAGAAAGAATACAGTATATACATCTAACAAAAGAATACTAAATATCAAATGATTTACTAACATTCTACCGTTTTTATTGTATTTAACAAAAAAAATTTTGCGAAAGAAATTTAATATGTGTGAATTATGATGTTTTTTTTTGTTCGAATATTAATAAAATTTTTCTATTTGTCTTTTTTGTATAATATTGAATATGCTTTCGATTTATTTATTTCAGGTTCAAGGGCAGAGAGAGAAAAGAAAGAAAGAAAGAAGAATATCGTATATGGTGATAATAAGATTTTCTTTTTTTTTACCCTCAAATTTTTTTTCGTATGTGTGGAAAATAAAATGAATATTTTTCATTTATTTAGAACGATTTCATGAACTTGATAAACGTTGTCGAGATTTTGAAAATGCAAATAATGAATTAAAACAATTGAATATTCAACTTGAAAAAGATTCATTAAGTGTTGGTGGTGTTACTGAATTATTTCGACGAGGACCTGAAGTGGATTGTTTTATTTTTATAAATTTCGATGTATTTTATTTGTTTTTTATTTAGGGACAAACAAGTGATAGTAATTCAAATGAAACTATAATAATTGAAGATGTATTAAATCAATCATCGACATCTCCAGCTTCATTTAAGGGTTCATTTTCACATGTTTCATCACGTGATACAACATCCGATGAAGCATTAACTGCTATTGTTATTAGTCAACGTGAACGATTTCGTATTCGCAATGTTGAATTAGAGAACGTAATTCAAATAAATCGATTTTTTTTCTATAAGAAAAATCTTTTTTTTGTATTTAGGAAAATGTTTCATTAAAACAACAAACGAATATGTTTCAAAATGAAATGGATAAACTTCGATCGAACAATATAAAATTATATGAAAAAATTAAATTCGTTCAGAATTATCCTGTATGTATTCAGTAAAAAAACTTTTATCCACTAAAATTGATTGAAATCTCATTTTAATTAAATGACATAACATCAGTCACGTCCGCAGAAATTTTTTCGGGGGGATTGACGACTCTGCAGAAAAGTACATCGTAGAAAAAGGTTATTTCAAATCTCTGAAAATTGTTCGACCTGTACTCCCCTCCAGGTATTTCAATTTTTTGCGGGGAGAGGGGATCGATCCCACCTCTGTGGACGTCCCTGCATAACATACCAATTAATAGTTTTAGAGAGAATCTTTCTAAATGATAAGATGATTGAAAATCAGAAACACTATTAATATGATAGTTAAGAGATTCCTCTTAGAATAATATAATTGTATTGTATTTTTATAGACAACACGCGGAACAGATGATCCTATTGATCGGTATTCACGTGGTTACGATGCATCATTGGATCCATTTACTAATTTTACGAAACAAGTATTGGATAATTTAATGTTTATATATAGATTTATATTTGATTTTATTTTGAAGGAAAAACAAAAGAAATATGAATCACTTAAAATTCATGAAAAATTTGCTTTAAACTTTGGTAAATTTATTCTCTCATCACATCAAAGTCGAACATTTTTTGTCATTTATTTTATTCTCGTTCATATTCTTATCTTTCTTGTAAGTTAAATTTATTTGTAATATTCGCATCGTTTTTTTTTTGTTATTATTATTTTCATTCTAGTCTCTTTATAAAATGGTTCATGTTGGTTCATCCGTACGTGATATGTCACAAGTTTGTTTTGATAAGTATGAAATTTTCTTTTTTTTTTATTTGAATTGAAATCAATTAACTTTTTATTTAGATTTCGAGAACATATGGCAGGTGTACATGGAGAAAAGAATTTTCATTTTGAACATGGCCATGCTCATGCTCCACCAGGTGTCGTTCCAGCTGCAGCACCACTACCTCATCGATAGACTTTGCATTTTATGCGTTAATTTTCATTTAAATATTGCTTCAAGATATTATCACATTCTACTAATTAATAAACACTTTCTACTAACATACAGAACCTGTTTTTTTTACATATACAATTGTACATGATCGTTGATCTTACAAATAAAAATTTCAGAATTTATTTCTTCAAATTTTTGAAGTTATTGATTAGAGAGACAAGCAATAAACAGAATACATGAGAGAGATGAAAGGTTGAAAATTATTCTTGTTAAGTTAATAGATGCTATTGTTCATTTCAAGATAAAAGGTGGATGAGTATTTTTTTCAAAAACTTATATGGAAGCATTTCTCTAACAGTTTTAGTCAGACTTTTTCACAAATTTGCTTCTGTGTCGTAAATTGTATTTTGATGATTAAAATATTTTATTAGTAGCAGTCAGAAACTAAATCTTTCTATAGTTTTTTTAGAAAAAAAATAAAATCATTTTACTTTCCTCTAGATTTTAGGTTCCTCTATAATCTATATATGATATATATTCATAAAAAATAGGATAATTTCAAACTATTCTACTAGATTTTGTACTTAATTCAGAGATCGATTATATAATAATTAACGTTTATTTTATTTTTTTCGTCTTTTTTACATACACTCGCCACTTAATTACTTTTAAATGATCAGTCATTTATAATTATTGAAAATATTATGCTAAATAAGCAAAATACACAATTACTTTAATATTTAATATAAACCTTGGACTTGTGAGGCAACAAAAATACGAAATAATCCATATTAACTATCTTTTGTATTCGTACATGAAATCAGTCATACATTTTCTTTTTTTCTTGCTGTTCTTACAGGTGAGATAATAAGTTTTATTCATGTATGTGTTTAAGAAGCATTGATACGATTAGCATAAGCTAAAATATATCATTGCTTCGA